CCCACGCCGGAGGCTGCAACGCTGAGAGTACCACTCACGCAGCTGCTGTGAAGAGGGACCGCCACCAGGCGCAGTACGGTCAGTCTCAGAGCCCCCAATCTCAGCTCCCCCAGGCTCAGCACCCCCAGTCTCAGCACCCCCAGGCTCAGCACCCCCAGTCTCAGCACCCCCAGGCTCAGCACCCCCAGCCTCAGCACCCCCAGGCTCAGCACCCCCAGTCTCAGCATCCCCAGGCTCAGTACCCCTCGCAGGACCAGAGTCGACAGCTACCTCGACAGGCTCGACCGGGTCTACCTGGGAAACACCTGAGAGAGAAGGACCCTGGGGAGGGAGGGGGTCTACCGAAGGGACACCTGGGGTGAGGAAGAGCGGCGGGGGGGGAAGCGGGGCAGTGCGGTAGGGGAAAAGACGGTAAAAGGGTACCGACTCGTCAAAAGTGACGTCCTGAGAGGCGAAGACACGGCGCGAGGTGGGGTGGTAAAACTGCCAGCCAGGCGCGTATGTGGGGAAGCCAAGGAAGACACAGGGAACAGCGCGGGCGGAGAGCTTGTCCGCGGACGTATCGCGGACAAAAGTACGAGATCCCCAGAACCGGAACACCGACGCATCGCCATTCTCTCCCGTCCAACGCAGTGTCGGCGAGGTCTCCGGAACGGAAACACGGGGCCAGAGGTTGAGCTGATGCGCAACATATCGAACCGCAAACGGCCACAGAAAATGGGGGGCAGCCGCATGGATCAGGGAGGTACGAGCGACCTCCATGACTAAGCTAATGCGGCGCTCAGCAACCCCATTTTGCTGAGGAGAGGCCGGAAGCGTGAACGACTGCTCAATGCCCTCCCCCTGACAGAAGGCCCTCAAGAGGTCGGAGGAAAACTCACCACCTCTGTCAGAGTGCAGACGCAGGACAGGAAAGTCCGTGTGGAAGCGCTTGTGCAGCTGGAGACGACTCTGGCGGATCCAAGGGATCAAAACATCAGGGACTTCACCCTTGGTGCGCAAGGGGAAGACCGTGGTGTAACGCGTGTAGTCGTCAACCACCAGCAGGAAGTAGCACTCGCCGCCCTGTCCACGGACGCGGGCTGGGCCCCACACGCCCAGGTGGAGAGTCTGCAGGGGAGCCTCTGTCGGGGGCAACGAGGAGTGAGGAGCGGCGCGCTGCCGCCCCTCGACACAGGGAAGGCAGGGAGGGGCAGGGGAGGGTGGCGGGGGAGGCAGGGTCTCGGGAAGACCAGAGACAAGGTACCGGAAGTGCATGCCACGAAGGCGCTGCACTGACGGGTGACCAAGGCGGTGGTGCCAGAGGACGGTCTGGTGCGACAGGGTGCGACACAAGCAGGGGGCCGATAGCTGACCTGACGCAGACGCAGACGCAGCTACCTGAGGGGACTCAGTGGTCAGTATGTACAGGTCCGACCCCGGCTGCCGAGTGAAGGTAGCCAGGTGGCGACCCGTCCGAGCACACGTGCAGTGGGTCACACGCTCATGGGCAGGGGTGAACTGGTGAACACCCCCGTCCTGGAGAGCAGAGCCCGCCACCAAGTTCGTAGAGAACGAGGGGAGGTAAAGACCCGACAGGGTGCCGGACGGGACCGCAGGACAAGGGAGGACACTGGAGGAGGTCGCAAGGACCGGGCCCCCAGAGGGGTCAGCCAGAGAGACAGCAACATGCCGAGCTAGCTGCTCAAGGACAGTGCGGTCACGAAAGAAGCAGCGGGAAGCACCCGAGTCCAATGTTTGACAATTTCCTGGCCTTCTTTCCTAGAAATCCAAACCACCTGACGGGGGAATGGCGGGCGAAAGGCGGAAAACCCACTCGGATCCTGCGCTTCGACCCGGATTTGTGTAGCGATTTTTTTTTTGCGAAAAGCACTTTTGTCCGTGCGACACGGATTCTGCTCGGATTTGGCGGAAAAGTGGTTTGGGGCCTCCAAAATCCAAACCACCTGAAGTCGCAACGAAATGTCGCAGGCGGAGTAACACTGGCAGTGGGCGATCATCGACGGTTGGTCGAAATTGACGTAGCAACAACTGTTCAACATTGTTTGTGTATAAAAGTTGTAGTATACACATGGTTGTAATTGTGACAAACAGTCAAAATGGCTAAGTATAAATTCCCCATGGTTTGGCTCATAACTCAAAGATTTGTGGTTCTTTTTGAGTGAAACTTGGATTTCCTGGACCTCCTTGATGTCCTCTTCAAACGAGCATGTATTTGCTATTTTGCCCAAAATCATTCATTTTGTCACTTTTGGCCCAACTAAGGTTGCTCCTAGCACTTGCAATGTCATTTTCTGGTTAGCACACACATGTGTTCTGAGGTGACCATTTATTTTTTATTTTTTAGTGTTATGACACCTGTTCCAGGTCCCCACAACATTCACAGCTCAGTGCACACAGCATAGGTGTGTTTTTCGTGCAAGGAAATCTGTGTAGAATTGCCTGGAATCAGGTTGCAAGTAAAAACAACCACTTCTCCTTGGGAAAATGAGTTTATTTTCATAGGGGACCCTCATCACACCTATTCCAGGCTCCCCTCTGAAAATCAACTCATTTGCCCAAGGTTTGCTATGGTTTTTAAGCCTTGTTCTGCAGCAGTCTGCAGAATTCTGTGCAGAATTGCCTGGAATCAGGTTGCAAGTGAAAACACCCACTTCTCCTTGGGAAAATGAGTTGATTTTCATAGGGGACCCTCGTCACACCTATTCCAGACTCCCCTCTGAAATTCACCCCATTTGCCCAAGGTTTGCTATGGTTTTCAAGCCTTGTTCTGCAGCAGTCTGCAGAATTCTGTGCTGAATTGCCTGGAATCAGGTTGCAAGTGAAATCACCCACTTCTCCTTGGGCAAATGAGTTGATTTTCATAGGGGACCCTCACCACACCTATTCCAGAGCTCCCTATCATTTTCTCTTTTTAAAACGATTGTTTTGGTGTGCTTACCTACCTTGTTCTGAAGGGGGATGTATAATTTTGATGGCTGAATTGCAAGCTCTTTATTGTTGAGAACATGGGTTTTTGACTTTCCAAACCAGACTGCCAGATTAGGGTTCATACTGACAACCTGAGGTACGCTATGGTGATGCATGTTTTTTTTTGTGTTAATCACTTCGATACTTGTGGCAATTATTGTTAAATGCATAGTTTTTGAAACACAAATTTCAACCAGACACGGTAAGCGAAACACTCCATAGTGCGCTCTCGGCCTGCACAGTGAGTGGCTAAAATATGTTGCATAGTGGCTCTCTGCACATTGGCGTCGAATTTGTCGACGGGAAACATGCAGAGCGCTCGTTTCTATGTGGCAACCTCGGGACAGCCTGTCACACGTCCGGGGCAGGTTTTGTTTTTTCAGGGTCAGACCGTGCAGTGATATACGTGGCCGCAACAGAATTGCGACGAAATGTACGTTGGCAGACGACCTGTTCATGCATGACTTGCAGATAAGGTTGACAACAGAGCGTGCATGATTGATGGATATACATTATGGAATTCCTTCAGCAATGGGAGTCAGAAAGATACCTCTGCACGCAGCATTCATTGGTAGAAGAACATTCTGGAAACCTACGTGGCAGCATTTCTGCCATTATATCCGCAGAAATAAAAAATGGCGCGCCGATCTGCATGCGGAATCCAGCGTTGCAGTTCAAGGTGTAAGTGATGTTGATCACGTGCGAGGAAACTAAGCGCGCCTTGCACCAGCGGCCCACAAACCGTAGTTTAACGTTTCGTACCGAGAAGCGGGGAAGGCGAGTGGTTGAGATGGGGGGTGAGGGTTGTTTCACGCTCTGGAGTCCATTTTGCTGCACATTCTTGGCATTCTCTTCAGATTCTCCTTTCTACTCCAATCTTATACCCACAGTTAGCTCTTGTATCGTTGCGTAGGTCAGCGACCGTGTTTGACGCCTATTCCTTGAGATTCTACAGTAGTATAGTTCGTACTGGTGTGGGCTGACACTCTAGCATTTGCGCCGATTTCAAATATAGGCTAGCCATGCGCAGAGTATTGACTTCAGAGGGGTGTGGCGTGCGTGTACGACTCGGAAAGGCATCTTACGTCAGCTTGTGCCGTAACCAAACAGAGTGGAACGAAGCTCTACTAGCGTATGGCCTTCTGTAAGTTTTCTCATCACCTCTTTGATTTTACATTTTCGGCTGTCCGCCGCCATACTTTATTAACAACCCCCACATCGACCGTCTTCCGCGCAATGAAGTTGCCAAGGACAAGCTTGGTGCAAGGGAGCTCCAACGCCTGAGGAGTGAGCAACCACGAGTGCCAACATGCAGACGAGGACATCGTTCACTGCTCGACTATCAGATGGTTATCATACCTCTTCTCTCTGCGTAAGCAACCGAACTATGTACTTGGGGAGTATTTCAATAACGTCGTTCAATAATTCTAACATCCACGTTTTGTATGGCAGAGTTTGTGAGGCCTCGGGCGCATCCATCAGCCTTATGGTTTTATTGAACCCAAAGGATTTGCTGGCCTCCCCGCGAGGCGAATACCGTACGCGCGTCATTCACTTCGACCCCAAGTCTGCTATTCCTGGCCGACGCCACACCCAGTTTGCTATCAACGTTTCTAAGTAAGCATATTTCTTCAATTTCTCATACAATATGCAGCACGTGGTGTACAATATCTCACTACTGCTGTTAATCGATACAGGTGGCTTGTTGAACAACTAGAGGTCGAGTTCACAAGGGGCAGCGTATATAGTGGCGGGCATATGGGAGAGGTCATCCGCGACATGAAAGGCCGACTCGATTGGTTGGACGTCGAAATTGGAGCGGTAAGTTTCAGTCGTTATGGTTGTGTAATCCAGTCACTGTTAATTATGTTACTGGGCACTAACTCATTAATTGTTTATATTGTGGTATACCCCAGATCAACAAGGTGCAGGGCCGGCATGAGGTGGGATCGGGCCTGCAAGTGACTCACCTATTTAGCAAGCTTTTGGACAAGTGGGGAGATCTCTTGGCGCTGCAGAGCCAAGACAACATGATCAACTTGGGCGCGGGTAAAAATAAGAAGGACGAGGTCAGATACATGCTCGTGAGTGGACTCCGTGCTTATTTCGACCAGTTTGAGGACGAGTCTCCAGCTGTAGGGAATGAGGCGACTGACGAGGTGGAGACGATGGAGGAAAGGATCGAAGAGGAGACGAACCAAGACAGGAGAGCTAGGAGGGCCGAGGGGGTGACGGTGGCGTCATCGCAGAGAAGTGCACGCGAGGACAAGAGGCGGAGAGACGGAGCCGCGGCAGTAGAAGAAGGAGCACCAAGGGTTGCGGAAGTATCTTACTCCCGGAGATCCCTGGTCCGGGAGAGGTCCGCCCTAGTAGATGAACGGGCGAATAGGGGAGGCCGTCAGCTCAGGTTTTCGGAACGTGTTAGGAGGTCTGCTCGTCGCGACACGGAGATGCAGAGAGAAGGGGTGGGGACGTTGGCTGGAAACTTGCAGACGGACCTGGCGGGGGGATTGGAGGAAGGCGAGGAGGGTGTAGAAGATCCGCAGCAACAAGGAGAGGTGGGTGTAGAAGATCCGCAGCAACCGAATGACACCCGTGATGCTATGGAGCGTGTGGGATGCGGCGCGGCATGTGCAGACGTTGGAGTGGGAGGAGTGGATCTCGCCTGCAATCTTCGGCAGCGGACCGAGAAGGACGTGGGTTTCTTGAAAAGTTGCGCATCAAGGGTAAAGCGGAAGGCGACCGAAGAGGCACGGAGAGTGGACGTCGACGAGCCAGAGGCGACCGAAGAGGCGCAAAAGAAGGTGGATGATGAGGCGCATAAGAAGAGGGTGGTAGAGTTTCGGGAAGGCGGGGTGGCGGAGGCGATGATGCTGGCGAATGCACAGGCGCCGAAAATAGCGGAGGCGGAGGTGCTGCAAAAGGCTGACGCAGAGGCGCGGAGAATCGCGGCGGTGGATAAGCAGAGGAAGAATGATGCAGAAGCACAGAAGGTTGCGGATGCAGGGGCGCAGAATAAGGCGGCGGAGGAGACGCAGAAGCTCGCAGAAGCAGGGGCGCGGAAGAAGGCGGATGCTACGGCGCAGCAAAAGTCAGATGCAGAGACGCAGACGACAGCAGATGCAGAGGCCCATAGGACCGAAGAGGTCGAGGGCCAGACGATTGCGGTTGCAGAGGAGGCGAACATCGCAGAGGAGGCGATGCAGAAGAATCCGGAGGAGGCATCGAAGCTTGCGGAAGAGGAGGGGAAGAGGAAAGAGGCCGCAGATGCATCGAAGAGAGCGGAGGAGGAGGCGAATAGGGAGGAGACTCCAGAGGCGCAAACGATCGCGGAGGAGGAGGCGAAGCAAAAGGCGGCTGCAGAGGCATCGAAGATGTGTTATGAGGAGGCGAAGAGGAATGAGGCTGCAGAGGCGTCGCAGCTTACGGATGAGGAGGCGAAGAGGAAGGAGGCAGAGGAGGCGTCGAAGTTTGCGGATGAGGAGGCAAAGAGGAAGGAGGTTGCGGAGGAGTCAAAGAGCGCGGAGGAGGAGGCGAAGAGGAAGGAGGCAGAGGAGGCGTCGAAGATTGCGGAGGTGGAGACGAAGAGGAAGGAGGTTGCGGAGGCGTCGAAGTTTGCGGATGAGGAGGCGAAGAGGAAGGAGGTTGCGGAGGCGTCGAAGAGAGCGGAGGAGGAGGCGAAGAAGAAGGAGGTTGCGGAGGAGTCGAAGAGCGCGGAGGAGGAGGCGAAGAGGAAGGAGGCAGAGGAGGCATCGAAGAGAGCGGAGGTGGAGGCGAAGAGGAAGGAGGTTGCGGAGGCGTCGAAGTTTGCGGATGAGGAGGCGAAGAGGAAGGAGGTTGCGGAGGCGTCGAAGAGAGCGGAGGAGGAGGCGAAGAAGAAGGAGGTTGCGGAGGAGTCGAAGAGCGCGGAGGAGGAGGCGAAGAGGAAGGAGGCAGAGGAGGCATCGAAGAGAGCGGAGGTGGAGGCGAAGAGGAAGGAGGTTGCGGAGGCGTCGAAGTTTGCGGATGAGGAGGCGAAGAGGAAGGAGGTTGCGGAGGCGTCGAAGAGAGCGGAGGAGGAGGCGAAGAAGAAGGAGGTTGCGGAGGAGTCGAAGAGCGCGGAGGAGGAGGCGAAGAGGAAGGAGGCAGAGGAGGCATCGAAGAGAGCGGAGGTGGAGGCGAAGAGGAAGGAGGTTGCGGAGGCGTCGAAGTTTGCGGATGAGGAGGAGAAGAGGAAGGAGGTTGCGGAGGCGTCGAAGAGAGCGGAGGAGGAGGCGAAGAGGAAGGAGGTTGCGGAGGCGTCGAAGAGCGCGGAGGAGGAGGCGAAGAGGAAGGAGGCAGAGGAGGCATCGAAGATTGCGGAGGTGGAGGCGAAGAGGAAGGAGGTTGCGGAGGCGTCGAAGTTTGCGGAGGAGGAGGAGAAGAGGAAGGAGGCAGAGGAGGCGTCGAAGAGAGCGGAGGTGGAGGCGAAGAGGAAGGAGGTTGCGGAGGCGTTGAAGTTTGCGGATGAGGAGGCGAAGAGGAAGGAGGTTGCGGAGGCATCGAAGTTTGCGGATGAGGAGGCGAAGAGGAAGGAGGTTGCAGATGCGCAGAAGGCAGCGGAGGAGGAGGCGCAGAAAGCCGGAAATGACGCGAGGATATTGGAGGACCAAGTGGTGCAGAGGAGGGCTGACGTGGAGCCGAGGGGGAGGGAGGAGACTCCTGTGAGATGCATTGAGTCAGAAGCGATGGAGACGGATGAGGTGACAGAGCCGATTCAGACGGGAGCAGATGATCGCATAGGACGTGAAGAACACAGAACAGTTGCCGCTGACACAGGGGAGGAGGGGGGAGATCCGTGGGTGCGGAGGTTTTTGGGAAATACAATGGAGAGGGCATGTAGAGAGGTTGAAGATGGTGCGGTGAGGGTTGCTGTGGAACGTCAAATGCAGAGGGAGCACGAGAGAGAGTTAGAGGAGAGCGGACCTCCAATGCCGATGTGGGTGGAGGTAGAGTGGGTGGAGGCAGAGGCTGCCATTCGGCGGATGCTGTTGGTGCAACCCTACGGTTTGCACTCGGCTTGTTGTCCGTATGCGTGAATGTGTGTGTGTATGGAATGGTATGAGGGCATGGGATAATATATATTTCATGCTTATAATTGTGTGTGAATGTTGAGTCATGATGTCGAGTGTGTGTGTCGAGTCAATAGCGAGTTATCGCTAGACGCGTGTTACGCGGTCGTTTGTGTCTCGCGCGCGGTTTCTATTTTGTCGTGCGCGGTTTCTATTTTGTCCTGTGTCGAACGTTCGGCGCAAGTGATTTCGAAGCTTGCCAAAAGGGTACACCTCAAGATATTGAAGATAGTTACATCACTTTGTGTAGTGTAACATTTCACTTGGTGTAGGCCCTAGTGAAGGGTAGTTTCGAGACCCTTCGTGGTTGGGGACAGTGTGGCACTGTTCCACATCACTGTACCTCGGCTCTTGGGGTTTGTAGGAGCTGGGAGTCATTCCCAACTCGTAACTCTTCCTATCTTGTGTTCTAAGACTATAGTGGCTGCCATAGTACCGTTCGTTCAAACCGACGCTGTGTCGTCAATTCTTTATCAAATCATGCAATCTAAATTGCTAATTGTAGACGACGTGAAGACGCTCCAGATCCAATTTGAATCAGGTCATTTGCAGCTGTGAGCAGAACGCTATCAACGTTTGAAGCCGCTGTGCAGAAATCCGTCTGTGCTCTCTATCTTTCGTTTTAGGCACATTCAAGCCTATTGTGACTATAACAAGTGGTATCAGAGCCCCTTGGAGCAGTTTCGACAATTTCTGGACCTGGGGAAAGGGGTGGCAGAGGTGCTGGTGGCAGTGGAAAAGCTCAAGCTCAAGGCCAACCCCGTGATTCAGCCATGGCGCCCATGCAACCAAGTCTTGGCCCACCTAGGGATGAGCCTAGGGTGTTTGGGCTTGACAAGTTCAACGGTGACAACTTTGCTGAATGGTCCTTCAAGATGGAGAACATCTTTGACCACTATGACCTGCTGGAGGTGATGGAAGGAACGGAGAAGCGCCCCGAGAACGACCCGAAGAAGAGCCCGTGGGTGCGGAAGAGCGCACAAGGCTATCTCTTACTTGGGCAAGCGTTGGGGAGCAGTCAGATCCGTCACATCAAGCCATTCCAGCGTGAACCAGAGAAAGGACCAAAGGCATGGGCTGCTCTCAAGGGTGTACATGCTCCTGCAACAGCGGCGGTAGCGGTGGTGTTGGAACGGCAAATGGCGGCACTACGAATTGAAGAAGACGAAGCGGTTGAAGAAGGGGTGCAGAAATTCTTCGACTTGTTGACGCGGCTTGAGGGAGCTGATTTGAACTACAGTGAGCTCCAAAAGAAGACCAAGTTGCTGGCCTTACTCCCAGAGTCATGGTCCTCGCTCATCATCAACCTTAATCGCGACTTGCCCCGCCTCTCGCTTGAAGACGTGAAGCGAGCTATCCTTCAAGAGGATTTCCGCCGCCGTGAGTTGGCGAGTGCGGATGGCGCTGGGGCAGCGAGCATCGGCCATGGATATGGTCGAGGAAGAGGCAGAGGACGAGGGGGAGGAAGGTTTGGTGGCAGCAACTTCGGCGGAGGCCGCAGGAGTGGCGGTTACGGCAGCGACGACAAGAGCTACGGACGCGGTCGCGGCCGATTCGACGGCGAGTGTCACTATTGCCACAAGAGCGGACACATGTGGCGTGACTGCTACAAACTCCCTGATGGTTGGACCCCTGCTCAAGGCCAAGAGGGTAGAGGAGCAGGAGGAGGGAGAGGACGAGGCCGTGGAGGCCGTGGCGGTCGCGGTGGCGGAGCTGCAAACATGAAGAGCGGAGACAACGACAAGGACCCGAGCGACGATCGATACCCGGGTCTATTCTACTTCGTGTCGACGCAAGTACCGGCTGGTCCAGAGAAGGATGAAGGCTTTGAGGAGCCAGCAGCTGTGGGGAAGGTGACCCTACACCCCCTGGACTATTGGGTGATTGATAGTGGCGCTACCTATAGCATGACACCTCGCCCGGACTTGCTCACCGAACTCGAGCCGTCACCGGTGAAGCATGTCACATCGGCTTTGGGGCAGCGAGCAGAGGTGAAAGGCATGGGCAAGGCCATGTTCAAGGGTGCTGATGGGAAGATGGTGGGCCTCAAGAACGTGCTTTGGGTGCCCAGCCTTGCTGCAAACCTGATTTCCGTGCGGCGGTTGGCAAAGGCCGGCATGGACACGAACTCGAAGGGAGCCAAGACCTACACCGCAAGGCTTGGCGATCGAATTCTTTGGGACCTTCATGAGGACAGGGATGTCTACAACGAGATGTGGCAGATCCCAGTGGTCCCTATGCCTAAGGAGAGGCAAGTGGCAGCAAGCATCAGCACCAAGGATGGAGCGGTCGGTAGCGACGATGGCGCGAACGGTCGCGCTAAGGAGAATGAGCTCAAGAAGAGCAAACCTGGAGGGACCAGCAAGTTCAGTGAACCTAAGGAGAGTGGTGCAGCAACCAAGGAGCAGCAAAAGGGTGAGGAGAACCCAGAGGCAGCAGCGGAGGAGGACTACGGAGAGAGTATGTGGGGCGCTATTGCGAGCGCGGCATTCTCCAATCCAACTTCGGCTACGGGGGAGTGTGATTGGCTCACCTTGCATCGGCGCATGGGGCATGTGGCCCTGCCCATCTTGCAGCAGCTAGTGAAGAATGAGATGGTTGCTGGCATACGTGTGAAGGGGGAGCCCGATGAGGTGCTTGGCTGCCCGACGTGCATTCAAGCCAAGTTCACCCGGTTTCCGTTCCCTAGTTCGGAGGCAACGGCAAAGGCACCGCTTGATGAGGTGGTGATGGACGTGGTGGGCCCCCTGAAGCTTGGAGCTGCTGGAGCTGAGTATTTTCTCACCATTGTCGACGTCTACACCCGCATGACTTGGGTGTACGTGCTGGCCAAGAAGAGCGACGTGGCTGAAACGTTGAAGACGGATTGGTTCCCGATGGTGGAGCGGCAACAAGACCGTCTAGTCAAGTCAATCCGCACCGATCGAGGGGGAGAGTTCCTGAGCAAGGAGTTTGGGTTGTGGCTGAAGAAGAATGGTATTCGGCACTCCCTCACCATGCCATACTCCCCTGCAATGAACGGCATCGCCGAGCGAGCGAACCGCACAATCACGGAGGCGGCACGCGGGTTGCTCATTGAAGCCGGGCTACCCGACTATTTCTGGCCTGATGCGGTGCGGAGCGCGTGTGTGGCCAAGAACAGAGCCTTGACTCATGTGGGAGCAGACAAATGGTTGCCCTATGTGGAGTGGCTAGGAAGGAAGCCAAAGGTGGATATGCTTCGGGTGTTCGGGTGCATGTGCATGGCGCTCGTGCCTAAGCATCTTCGGCACAACAAGCTTGGTGCCAAGGCGGTGTGGGCCGTGCACTTGGGCATGGCTCAAAACAGCAAGGGATGGCTTCTTTGGGACCCATTCACCAAGAAGTTCTTGGTGAGCAGGGACTGCAAGTTCATGGAGAACTTCATGTACAAGGATTGGAAGGCGGAGAATGAGGCGAAGATAGGCGTGCGGTTTGGGGAGGTGAAGAGTTCCGGTTTGGAGCATGTGGAGCTGCCTTTGGAGCTGAGCAGCGGCAGCACAACCACAAGGCAATCCTCCCTTGTGAATGGGGGAGAGGAGGCCAATGATGCAGAGGAAGAAGAGGAGGAGGTGCAGCAAGTGAGCGAGCGTGCACCGTCACTCCCTTCCCGTACTACGAGTGCTCCACGGATTCGAGCCACACCGCAGCAACGCCAAGGCCTTCAAGTCCCTGCAGCTGAGGAGGAAGGAAGGGGGAAGAGGAGAGTTCAACCCCCTAATAGGCTGACCTATAATGCGCCGGGAAAGCAGGGCAAGACAGCCCTGGCCGGAGCGGCAATGATGGTCGGAGACGACGAGGAGAGTGACTACGAGGAGTGTGCCTTCGCGTTCTTCTCTCCGGTGGAGATGCCGGGAGAACCAGCAACTCTCAAGGAGGCTTTGGAGAGTAGTGATGCTGAGGAGTGGAAGAAGGCCATGGAGAGTGAGCTGAAGAGCATCGAGGAGAATGACACGTTTGAATTGGTGGAGCTACCGGAGGGGCGTACGGCGATAACGTCCAAGTGGCTCTTCAAAATCAAGTCGGATGCCGACGGCAAGATCGAGCGCTACAAGTCTAGGCTTGTAGCCAAGGGGTACCAGCAGAAGGAGAAGGTGGACTTCAAGGAGCTGTTTGCCCCTGTGGTGAAGCCGACGACGCTGCGAACCCTATTCGCGGGAGCCGCCATCAAAGGATGGGTAGTAAAGCAAATGGACATCGTAACGGCATTCCTTAACGGCATCCTTGAGGAGGAGATATTTATGGTGCAGCCAGAGGGGTTTGATGATGGTAGTGGCAGAGTGTGGAAGCTGAAGAAGGCCCTCTATGGGCTGAAGCAGGCCCCTAGGCAATGGTACATGAAGCTGCGCGAAGTGTTGGAGGGGATCGGCTTCACTCCCTCAACGGCCGATCACTCCTTGTTCATGCTTGGCGAGGGGGAGCAGAGGAGTTTCATGGTGGTTTATGTGGATGACATCCTCATTTTCTCACCCTCTTCTGACCTTGTGAAGGAGGTGATGCTGAAGCTTCAAGACAAGTTCAAGTGCAAGGCCCTTGGTGACGTGAGCTTCTACCTTGGGCTCCACATCGAACGAGATGTGGAGAAGCGGTGCATGCGGGTGCATCAACGAAAGTACCTGGAGGCATTGGCTGCCAACTTTGGGCAGAGTGAAGGCCATGTGGCTACACCCTTTCCCTCTGGGTTCAAGTGTGTGAAGGGACCAGAGGAGGAGAGCGTTGGTGAAGAGGAGAGGCGCCGATTTCACTCGTTGGTGGGCAGCCTCATGTATGCGGCGGTAAACACCCGACCGGACGTCGCGTTTGCTACCGGGCAGATGGCTAGGGTTGTGCAATGCCCTAATGAGGAGCAGGTAGCAGCTGGAATGAGGGTGGCCAAGTATCTTGGCCAAACACCGACCGTTGGGCTGCAATACTCGGCGGCGGCACAAAGGCGCCAAAAGGGCGCGGATGGTGTTGAACCCGGGCGTTTGTTCCTCACCGCCTACTCGGATGCTTCATATGCATCAGAACCAGAGGACATGACAAGTGTGGGAGGCTTCATATGCTGTGTTGGTGGAGGCCCAACTGCTTGGGAGAGCAAGAAGCAGGTTGACCAAGCTTTGAGCTCGGTGGAGTCCGAGTACATGGCACTCTTCCGTGCCGTACGGGAGATTGTGTGGCAGCGGCGTTTGTTGGCTGAATTGGGGGAGGAGCAGCAAGGACCTACCCCACTGTACTGTGACAGCCAGGGTGCCATTGCTCTTGCTAAGAACCCTGTGTTGCATGGACTCACGAAGCACATGAGGGTGAAGTGGCATTGGACGAGGAGCATGGTAACCGCGGGTGAAGTTGAGTTGCGCTACGTGAAGACCACGGGGCAGCCGGCTGACATGATGACCAAGAGGCTGGTGGAGCAGCAGCATTGGAAGTGTTGCAAGCTGGCTGGGATGGCTCTGAACTGAGAGAGCAACATATCCTAAGGCCAACAATCCGAGGGGGAGTTTGTTGGTGCAACCCTACGGTTTGCACTCGGCTTGTTGTCCGTATGCGTGAATGTGTGTGTGTATGGAATGGTATGAGGGCATGGGATAATATATATTTCATGCTTATAATTGTGTGTGAATTTTGAGTCATGATGTCGAGTGTGTGTGTCGAGTCAATAGCGAGTTATCGCTAGACGCGTGTTACGCGGTCGTTTGTGTCTCGCGCGCGGTTTCTATTTTGTCGTGCGCGGTTTCTATTTTGTCCTGTGTCGAACGTTCGGCGTGTCGCAGGTGTGTGCAGCAGACCCATCAAGAACTCAAGGATGAGTTTGTGATGAAGAGCCCGAGCCTTGGTGTCAAGCCTCAAGTGATTTCGAAGCTTGCCAAAAGGGTACACCTCAAGATATTGAAGATAGTTACATTACTTTGTGTAGTGTAACATTTCACTTGGTGTAGGCCCTAGTGAAGGGTAGTTTCGAGACCCTTCGTGGTTGGGGACAGTGTGGCACTGTTCCACATCACTGTACCTCGGCTCTTGGGGTTTGTAGGAGCTGGGAGTCATTCCCAACTCGTAACTCTTCCTATCTTGTGTTCTAAGACTATAGTGGCTGCCATAGTACCGTTCGTTCAAACCGACGCTGTGTCGTCAATTCTTTATCAAATCGTGCAATCTAAATTGCTAATTGTAGACGACGTGAAGACGCTCCAGATCCAATTTGAATCAGGTCATTTGCAGCTGTGAGCAGAACGCTATCAACGTTTGAAGCCGCTGTGCAGAAATCCGTCTGTGCTCTCTATCTTTCGTTTTAGACACATTCAAGCCTATTGTGACTATAACAGATGCTGCGGCGCACGAGTACGGTCCTGGTTGAACAGGAGGACGGGTTCGTCGAGGAGGAGAGCTGGGACATCACACCAGCAGAGGTCACGCGTCGTCTGATCCTATTAGCGCGAATGATGACACATACATTCTGTAACTTTACAGCCCGCAACAGGTGTATCATTCGTGACGTCCATGATCTGACTGCCCATTACTGCCGCGACGCCCTCGCCAACTTGGCAGAGGTCCGCCATGGAAACGAAGAACGGCGGCGGGAAGCGCAAACGGCGGCCGAGTTTCGCGAGCAAATCGGTTCCACGCTCTCTACCTTGCAGGCCAGTATGCAAAGCGTTAAAGATCAGGTTCGCCAGTCGGGAGGGGAGTTGAAGGAAGGGATGTTAAGGGAGGGTGTAGAGAGGCTGACAGAGGTTCTGAGACAAGACTCGGAGCGGCGGAAGAGGGAGATACAGCAGGCGGAGGATCGGCGGCAGAAGGAGGAGGCAAAAAGGAAGGAAGCAGAGGCTGCCGAGCGGCTGAAGAAGGAGAAACAGCGGGAGGATGAGCGTAGGCAGAAAGAGGAGGCGAGCAAAAAGGTAGCTGAACATTCCGAGAAACGGAAGAAGGAGAAACAGCAGGAGGAGGAGCGTCGGCAGAAGGCGACGAGAGAGGGGATGAAGGAGATGACGGAGTTGATGAAGGTGATGAAGGAGATGAAGGCGGGTTTGAAGGAGACAAAGGATGGGATGGTAAAGCAGGTGGTAGAGGGGTTAACAGCGGTTCTGGCAGAGGACTCCGAGCGGCAAAGGATTGAGAGACAAAAGGAGGAAGAGGAGAAGAGGAAGGAAGCAGAGGCTACAGAGCGGCGGAGGAAGAAGAAACAGCTGGACGAAGAGCGGCGGCAGAAGGAGGTGGAAGAGGGAATAAAGGAGATGATGGAGGCTGTAAAGGAGATGAAGTCGGGGATGAAGGAGTTGAAGGAGGGGATGCTAATTGAGGTAGAAAAGAGGTTGTCAGTGGTTCTGAGAGTGGACGCCGAGCGGCTGAAGAGGGAGAAACATGAGGAGGAGGAGCAGTGGCAAAAGGAGGAGGAGCAGAGTAAGAAGGCAAAGGAGGCCGACCAGCTGCAGAGGGAGAAACAGCAAGAGGTGGAGCGGCTACAGAAGGATGAGGCGCAGAGGAAGGAGGCAGAGGAGGCCGATCGGCAGCAGAGGGAGAAACATCAGGAGAAAGACCGCCTGCAGAAGGAGGAGGCGCAGAGGAAGGAGGCAGAGGAGGCAGACCGGCAGCAGAGGGAGAAACAGCAAGAGGTGGAGCGGCTACAGAAGGATGAGGCGTAGAGGAAGGAGGCAGAGGAGGCCGATCGGCAGTAGAGGGAGAAACAGCAGGAGAAGGACCGCCTGCAGAAGGAGGAGGCGCAGAGGAAGGAGGCAGAGGAGGCAGACCGGCAGCAGAGGGAGAAACAGGAGGAGATGGAGCGCCTGCAGAAGGAGGATGCGCAGAGGAAGGAGGCAGTGGAGGCAGACCGGCAGCAGAGGGAGAAACAGCAGGAGATGGAGCGCCTGCAGAAGGAGGAGGCGCAGAGGAAGGAGGCAGAGGAGGCAGACCGGCAGCAGAGGGAGAAACAGCAGGAGATGGAGCGCCTGCAGAAGGAGGAGGCGCAGAGGAAGGAGGCAGAGGAGGCAAACCGGCAGCAGAGGGAGAAACAGCAGGAGATGGAGCGCCTGCAGAAGGAGGAGGCGCAGAGGAAGGAGGCAGAGGAGGCAGACCGGCAGCAGAGGGAGAAACAGCAGGAGCTGGAGCGCCTGCAGAAGGAGGAGGCTCAGAGGAAGGAGGCAGAGGAGGTCGAGCGGCAGCAGAGGGCGAAACAGCAGGAGGAAGAGCAGCGGCAGAAGGAGGCAGAGGATGCCGAGCGGGAGCAGAAGCGACGATTGGAGGAGGAACGCGTGCAAGAGCAGCGTCGAGCAGAGAAGAGGGCCAGACTTGCATCCTACGCGGAAAAGCAGCGGCTTCTGGAGGCAAAGGCAAAGGCTATGGCGGAAGAGACGGAACGTTTGGCATGGGAGATGGAGGAGGAGGATTCGACCATGTAGGGGGAGGGGACCGGGGAGGGAGTCGAGGAGGAAATAACAGAGGGCCTGGGGAGGGTGCGGTTGGAAGAGAGCGGGGAGGCGAATGTAGCAGATGGCGTGGCTATTGTTCTCGGACAGAACGTAGAGGTGTCGGCAGGAGGACAGGGAGCCGGAGGGTCATGCGTCTAAGAGGCGGCGTGCAGCTGGCATACAGGAGTTGATACCAATAACCCCAGCTGAAGTTAAAGGGGTGAAGATCGACAAGTGTGACAATAGGAGAAACGCCCAAGTTGACGCTAAGGGTAAGACTTTGGGTGTCGGGCAGCCTTTCAGGGGAAGCGGGTTCTCTCAACGAGGTGAAGGAGCACTGCAGAAGTGGACGTCGGAGCAGACCGTCGGCGGCCGGAAGCGGAACCTCAGCTCCCACAAATCGGTGTGGGAGAGGGGATACACGGTCGCAGTCTGCTGGAAGTTCTTCTTCCCGAATATTGACATGCAGGCGTACGGTATGAATCCCAGCCGTTTAAACGCGTGGCGCGCAGACCTCGAGTTCACAACATGGCTTCCAACAGGGGTGTGGAGCGTCCTTAACGAACTCCACCTCGACAAACCGGACGGGTGAGTGTTTTTGAGATGGAAAGTTGCAACTTCTAAACACACGCGAACTTCGATGGTTCTGATATTCCAACATGGGTGGCTTGTGCAGATTCTCACTCGTTCAGACCAACACGGCTGCTCATTGGCAGCAGCTGAGGGATGGCTTTCAGGTTGCTGTCTGCGCTGCTGTTGGAATAACTGCATGGCAGAAGATCGTGGGAGGCGTGGAGGGTGAAAACGGTTATTCGACAGAAGAACACGCAGTCGGCCTTGCCGCCACGTTGTCTGTACTGTGGGATGCCTCCACGAATATAGACCGAACCCAGTGGCTGACGGGCGCATCATCTGCTGCGCAAAAAACTTCTACGGCCCTCGCAACTTCTGCTGCCAACTCGGTCTCTGCTGCCAACGCCTCGTCTGCTGCCTCGTCATCTTCTGCTGGAGCCGAATCCTCTGCCGTCCTCGATGCCCTTGCGTCGCTTGCAGCCTCGATTGCTTGCGTTGCAGTTGAGGCGATGAGGTCGGTCGAGGATCAGGAGCATGACAAGGAAGCGTGGATTCTGCCCCTGTCGGATGCGCTGCTGAAAGCGCTTCCGGCAGAGTCGCGCACGTGCGGGGATACGAAGCGGATGACGAGGGTGGTGGCAAAGGTGGTGACCTCTTGGTGCCTATGCAGCATGGCATCAAGAGGCCTTCGCCAGCACCAGGGCGTCAGCCTCAGAGTCCTGCAGAAGAAATTGGGCAGCCGGGACACTACAACCGGGGCGGATAAGGAGAAGAAGGCCAAGAAGTTGTCCGCGAAGGGGAACGCGACGAAGGGGGCGTCGACGGAGGAGAACACCAGCACCGGCGGGCAGGAGTGATAGAGGGGGATGGGTTTTTTGGAGGTCGAGTTAGGACCGCTGATGAAAATGTGTTTTTTTTCTGTTTTTTTTAAACCGTGTCTAAACATAGGTGCTGTTGTATACAATGCAAGGAGAGATCTCATTTTTTATTGCAAACCAAAGTACAGTCGCGAATATTGTACAGAAGCGGAGCCTATGCATACGATCGAAGCCATCGTTGCCATCCCATGGCGACATATGGTCTACGACACGAAACAGCTGGAGATCCGCATACGCAGAAGATCGAGGACGTCATCACCCAACTGTATACACTACGTCTTCGGCATTAGAACGAAGGGGCTAAACCTACGCATAAGATCTTGTCATAGGGAGCACCTTGCTACGAACCGTATACGACACTCCTATGCACTAACACATCTGCTTTGTGTCGAATGACGAAGGGCGGGAGAAAACGATGTTCTCGTACCCATCGCATATCGACACGTAATAGGCAAGCAAGAAACCTTTATTATGTTGTATGTACCGCAATTAGCCATGCAGTAATTTGAAAATATTGGATGTAGAATTCTGTTGTTGCAGAAGCATAAAACTCAACACTTCCTACAGAAACAGTACAGTGTTTGTGGGGCATATGCCAGAAATGTAGAGAAGTCGTTTAATACCTTCCCCCCCAAAGCGAAAAGCAATATGCCCATCCAAGTAGGCATAACCTCAAAACCGTAGTGGACTCCACGTCTCTGAGGAATCCCTAAACACCAATTTCTACGCCTAACGGTTCGACGAAGCCGCATTTGCCTTTTCCCGTTCCGCCTTCTTCGCCTCTGCAGCTCGTCTTTTCTCCTCTTCCGCCTTCTCCTTCGCCAGCTCTTCCTTGTTGATCACCCCCCACTCATCATCCCCAAAGAGCGCCGTTCCCCACGCTTCGTCGTGCAGCCCCATTTTTACTATCAGCCAGCTCACTCTGCGTTGCGCCACGTCGTTCCCGGTCTTCTTCTCGGTCAACGACCCGGTTTTCTGTTTCTTGTTGGCGGGAGTCTCACGCAGCACCGCCAGACCGTTGGTGAATTCGGTGAAGTTGCACAAGAGGAACACATCGTCGAGCCGCTTAACAGCCGCGGCGATCGCCGCCTCGGAGCTGTCTTCTCTAAATGTCTCCACGGCTTCCATGACAAGCTGCACGCGACGCATCTTCCGCTCGCATGCAGACTCAGACATCTCGGGCACACCTTTAGCCGCGAACCGGGCATATGCGGTGAAGAAGCTGTTGTTCTTGTTCCGATCCTGGTCGAACTCTGAAAAGACATCGCTCACAGACTTGCCACCCATGATGTAGATTGACTGCACCCACAGTTTCCACGCAGCCGCCACAGTCGTGAATTCGCGCCAAGGCACAACGCCCACGACGAAGAAATATTCCACCGCAACTGGTCCTTTGGGTGCGTCCGTTGCCTGGCTTGGACCTACCCCAGCGCCCTTCGACGATCAGTCGACCTCTGCAGGGGTGTTTGGGGCGTCTTTCCTGGCCTCAACCGACCTCTTGTAAGCTTCGAACTCTGCAATGACCCGAGCCTTGTCCTCTCGCTTAGCATCGCGTTCCTCCCTCAGTTTCGCGTTCTCCAACGCCAACAGCGTTTCACGTCCTCTCGACTTCCCAAGATCAATCCTGAGGAGATTGGCGGTGAGGTACATCTTCTGCAACGTTTCCTCGGCGGTCGTGCGAAAGATAGCATCCTGCAGAAAAAAAAACCTAAGAACTCTGCTTTAATGGATCACTCTCTCTACCACTAATAGCCGACACTCACTGCTTTGGCGGTGGTTTGGCTGGTCTTCCGAAGCTTCTCGCCCTCGAAATGAAAATCAGCGACCAGGTACGCCCACTTTTGGAACAATGGGTGCTTGCACAAGGGGCTCATCTGCACATAAGGATGCCGCTCGCAATTGCACCGCGGGATTTTCACGCCGTGCTGATGGCAGAACGCCCACATCATAGCCAGATCATGTGCAACAACAAGGCGTCCGATGGTCGCGAGGGTCTCGAGGAACATAAACCCCGCATAGTGCCTCTTCAGCTCGTCGGTCTGTGCATCGTTCCATGCCTTGACCGGAGGGGACGAGTAGGCAGGAGAAATGCGACGGTAAAAAAATGCGTATACATTTTCATATACGAACGCGCAGACTCTTACACTCGCACGTACCTTCTTCCACCCCTCCTCGATCCAGGGGAAGATGTTCTGCCTCATGAGATCCAGCAGCTGCAACCACTCATCCTTCTCTTTATCCTCATGGCGCGGAAGCTTAGCGCGGGCTCTGCCGATGTAGTAGTCTCCACGATCCTCGCTGAATCCAGCCAGCAGCCAAACCGGCTTGAACGGAATGCCAAACACATAAGACCTCCGCATCTCGCCCAGCTCCCAGCCGCCCAGAGTGCCGATATCGTTGTCGGAGCAACCGTCGTCATGGAGTTGTTGCGCTCCAGATCTGCGGAACGCATGTGTCACCTTGCTCAGAATCCATTTCGCCTTGTCGATGGCCCATTTACTCCAGGTGCAGTGCGTTTTGTAGTGCATCTCATCTTGCTTCTGCTTTCCCTTGTCCTTCTTCTTCTTCAACGAAAAGAAGAGGTGCGCTTTAGTCCACTTGAGCGGTTCGGAAAAGTCGAGAGGCTCGACGATACCGGGGCCGTATCGCAGAGGAACCAGGTCGTAGATGAAATGTAGCCAGAGGAAAACATGGCCCATTCCGCAGAGCCGTCAGTCCCTATGCCTTGCAAGAAACTGGTGACTCAGCTTGTTGGTGAGGTTGGTCTTCGATTTCCTGGAGACGACAACGAGTACATAGACGTCCAGATCGTCGTCGAGGTGTGAGGTGCTCCGCGTCATGCGGACAAACATGTTCGGAAGGCGAATCTTTCGAATGCTGCACCCTCTTCCCAGAAATTGGTGTCCGAGGTGCATCATAACCGGCGTCTGCAGAGCCTTCCAGAGAGGAAGCGAGATTTGTGCGGGAGGCGACCGCCACCAGATTTGAAGGAGTTCTCTTCGCAGAACCGTGTGATGTAGTGTCCTATACTGGGATGCCGTATAGAAATCGCCAATTGATCCGCGGGTTTGATCTCGACCATCTCTGCATCAAAGAACGCAGTAATTAAGTACGAAATGTAGAGAAGGAATTACACAAGCAGAAAGCACACCACTAAGTTACTCACGCGACTTGCTTTTCGTTCAGCTCCTTCAACTTCACTTTCAGAAAATCCCGAGCCTCCTTGATCCAGTCCTTGGTCATTGTGATGGAGAAGTCGTAGAGCCTCGCCTCGCATCTGGCAAGGCATCCCATCGCGTTCATCTTTGCCTTGATCATGGAAGGCGTGCACCCCTTGGCCTCCTTCCCCACCCACTTCTCAACGTCTCGCCGTATTTTACCACGCAATAGCGTTGCCTGGTCGTTTGTTTCGCGGAAGAGGAACTCGATGTATCGGCCCAGCCTCCAGTTCGTGACTCGCGGCCCGTGCAGATGAATCTCCCACTGGTCAGAGCTGTTCAACCACTGATCATTTCCCAAGTTATTCTTCAGATGAAACCCAACCTCGTCGTGCAGAGAGGGAGCCGGGCTATCGAACACAGGGACATCCACCATCGTTGCCATGAAGATTATCACCCACCACTTGAAGTGGAGAAAGTGGAAACAATAGTGCCTTCTCGTGTCTTCCTCTATTAGTCGAAGAGGGATTGTTGAATGCTCGATCATGCTCGCATTTTCCGCAACGCCTTCTTGCCGCTGCCCATTTTCTGCCCCCGCACCCTGCTCGACATGGCTCGCAGCGGAGCATGGTCGTCCTCGTCGCGATGATCCTCCCTCTTCTTCACGGTCAGAGTGATCTCCATCCTCCTCGTAACCTTCCTCGGCCTCACCGGGTCGTCGGCGCACTTCACCGACTCCCGGTCCTTCACCCCCTTCACTCCCCTCGGCTTCCTCAATCACGATGGTCGGTGCGTAGGGACGACCTTCAAACAAATCGTCCTCTGTCGTGTCAAATTCGAGATCGTTCTCGCGATCCCCTGCGTAGTCTTCTACAGTATTTTCTTCATCCTCCAGGTCCTCTTCTTCACCCTCTGCGTCCTGGGCAGACACTGGGCAAGGCTGGACCGTTGCGTCGGCCATTGGCAGATGCCTATTTTATACGCGAAGCACCCAGTCTAGACCAAAAAAATGGGAGGTCAGAAACAGAAGGTGGAAAGGATTCGCAGGTATGCAGAGAAATTAGGCAGAATGCATAGTGGGCTAAGCGCAGAAGCCTTAAGAGCGTCTCTTATTCAGACGTCTGCACATTAGTCTACGAATGCCGACTATTCTACAATTTCTATTATACTTAGAAATCTATCTGCGCCTCCAGCTTGCGTATAGTTCGGCACCCTTTTGTTCGACATCTATAATTGTCTACAATGAAGCACCGAAAACAACTTCCGAATATTCTACCGATCGAGTTCTCTACGAAAACCTTATGCTTGTACATGAACGTCCTAAGTTCTACTATAGAATGGATCGAGACCAAACACTTCTACGGATCTAAATTGCCCCGACGAAGATCTGCGGCTACCTAACCGGACGACATACGACAAAGATATAGGTCGACAACCTACAGTTCTACCGAACAAATATGCTCAACCGCATACTAATGCGCCTACATAAGCGACCGAATATGTCCGACATATTATATCCTAAACCGGGCTGACCCAAAAAAAAAAAAAAAAAAAAACCTATACGACCTACCACGCTACGTCGAGGACGCAAGTGTTCTGCCGGTGGCTCCAGCAAGCTAAACCCTAGACTACTCTGGTGCGTAACAAGTACTGCTGGATGAAAAGATCTCATAGAGTTTGCGGACCATGAAAGGCAAATGAAAACGAGGAAATGAGCACAAAAACACCCATTCATACCCAAACAGCACACACAAGCCCTTGTCCAGATCTGGTCTCCCAACCCTGGGTTGAGATTCTCCCGCCAAAAAACTGCATGGAGATGGTTCGCTCCTCGTCGCCTATTGGCTCCTGCACCCATGGATTACTGACAAAACCAGTTGCCATCGCCACGTGTGCAGAATGACTACACTAGGTTAAAATCGACTATAAAACACAACAATTGACGTCGAATGAACCCGGCAAATGCAGAGTTAAGATAACAGAACCACGCTAAATCAAATTAAAGCTTAAAACGACGTAGAGACGGCCAGTTGGTCGCAAACGGCCATGCGACCGGCGCCCGTCATCTGTCGGCCAAAGAGTCACCCGTGCGAAAAATGTCATTCGCGATCAACACCAGTCGCAAACGGGGTTACGGGCAGGTTGGTTGGAACTAGGTTTTCACGATCAGGTGGGCGCGGAACTGTGCAAGGTTAGCCTTGTCGTATGCGGCGGAGCCTTGCGCCCAAGCCCTTCGGAGTCCGGATCACACGGATCCAAGGCCATGGACCCAGAGGAAAACGCACTCGGAACTACGCTTCAACGTAATCAGAGTCCCCTCCACTGAAGGTTCTCCTTTCCCCCAATGTCTGTCATCCTTGTCAACGGGAGTTGTTGTTGGCCCCGTCCTCGCTTGGGCGGAGCCGACTTCGTGGTCGGATGTGAGGAGTGCAGCCGACCTGCAGCAGTGGGGGATCTGGTCGACGGGTCTGGTCGACCTGCACGAGGGTCACTGCAAGGGCGCCGACTTTGGGAGGGCGCCAACTTCGGCTGGTCGACTTGGGAGGTCGACCAGTAGAGGGCGTCGACTTGGGTGACGCCGACTAGGGGAAGCCGACTTGGTGTGGTCGGCTGACATGTGCGCTGGTCGACCTGGAGTTGGTCGACCAGGTGGGTTGTCGACCTGGAGCTGGTCGACCAAGGTTGTGGTCGACCTGGTGAGGTCGACTGAAGGTGGTCGTCGACTTGGGAGGTCGACGGACACACGAGGAAGCAGCTGGTCGACGTGGTGGTTGCCCGGTCGACCAAGTTACCTGGGTGACGAGGTTCTGCGGAGGAGTGCGACGGTCGCCCAGGTGGTAGTGGCGAGACCGACCTCGGTGGTGGTATCCCGAGGTCGATGTGGCTGATGGGCGCAGTCGCTGGCGTGGAGTCGAGCTAGGCGTCTGCGCTGTGCACGTGACAAGGAAAAGTGCACCAACCAGCTGCATGCACCTGCGAAGCAGGTGCACCGTTGTCTTGCGAGTGCAATGCTGTGCAGCCGACCTGCTACAGCGTTGGCACACCGTGGACTTGCAACGTTGGCAAGCCGCGACTTTGCTCTGCTGGAGCGCGGTCGACCAAGTCGTGCTGGCACGCGGTCGACCGTGCTGCGCTGGAAGTCGACCAGCAACTTTGCTAGGTCTGATGTAGTCTTGCATGCCAATGTTGTTGCTATCATTCTAAACCATTGTTGTGAGCCTTTTGCTAGTGAAACTCTTGCCAACTTCCCCTGTGAACCAGCAAGTAGTGCAAGCACAAGCAAACGACTAAGGAACGAACGCAGAGATCCCTCCTACCCCGTGCCTAGCCCGTAATCTAGCTCCCGTTGATAGAGTTATCTCCGCATGGTGCGGTGAGCGTGGACGGCACACGACTTACCCCTTCAGTCAGGTCGACGTGGTGGTCACTTACCTAATTCGTGTTTGTAGGCCGGCAGCTGTGCGGTAGTCACTATGGTAGGCGCCGTAGGTGACGCATGGTTTAGGGTGGGCACCCTGGAGGCACGGCTGGAGGACGCGAGGAGACGCCATGAGGCCAACGAGTACGGGCCAAACCTACCATTGGCGGTCATCGAGGCAGGCATCCGCTCGGTGTGGGTGGAAGAGCCCCCTGCTCGACCAGCTTCTCCTCGACCGGTGAACAACGAGGACGGCGCCGACTTGGGAGTCAACGCCAGTGGTGACCAAGTCGGCAGCAGTGCGGGAGGCACGTCGAGGCAGCGAGGTGTGATACACGACGATGAATTCGGCAGCGTTGGAGGTCAGTTGTCTGCCCCCTGCTCGTGTCGCTCTCGGGCGCACGAGACTGTCCTCTGGCACCACCGCCTTGGTCACCCGTCTGTGCAGCGCCTTCGTGCCATGCACAAACGGTACCTTGTCTCTGGTCTTCCCCGCGTACTCCCTCCCCTACCACCCTCGCCTGCTCCTCCCTGTCTTCCTTGTGTCGAGGGGCGGCAGCGCGCCGCTCCCCACTCCTCCTCTTTTCCCCCGACGACTGCTCCCTTGCAGATGCTCCACATGGACGTGTGGGGCCCAGCCCGCGTCCGTGGAGAGGGTCAGGAGCGGTACTTCCTGATCGTTGTTGACGACTTCTCGCGCTACACCACGGTCTTCCCCTTGCGCACCAAGGGTGAGGTCCCTGCTGTTTTGATCCCTTGGATCCGTGCTTCTCGTCTCCAGCTC